TCATAGGTCCAAATCAGCTTCTCTATGGAATAAGGCAGGGAGAGAGCCTGCCAGACTGGGAATTTTTGGGATGGTTAAAGCCATGGAGGTACCTGGGGAGCAGTGTGTGCATTCAGCAGGAAGATTTAACTCATGGTCTGTCCTGGGCAATGTCTGTAGCCACAGAGAAGAACAGGAGTAAATGATTGTTTAAGCTAATCCAGAGAGTAAAACACTTGTGAACCAAACTGCACTAGGGTGTATCATTCTTCTGGGGGTTATGAAGTGAGAGAGATGCTGTGTGTGAGGGCAAGCCAGATCATAACCTCTGCTCAGAGCAGTTCCAGGCTGCTAATGAAGGCATAGCAGCTGAAAGGGGCAGCCTGTGGGTGGCTCAGTAAAGGGAACAGCAGTACAAAGTCAGGACATGCTGAAAGCATGGAAGAGAGTGGCAAAGTCACCCTCTGTGAGGGAAAAGGACAGCTTCCAAGCTACCCGGGAAGTGTTCTTTTTCTGCTGCTTGCTTTGTTGTAAATACACAAAAGTAATGTATTGTCATTTACTTGTGGTTCCTTCCAGTAAGAAAACCTCCCTGTGTGAAGCCATCATGTGGTTTCAGCAGTCCTCTGGCAAAAGGCACACTATGTACAGCTGAGAGGATCTTAGCTAAATTATATATCCAGCATCTAACTGCAATGAAGAGAGAATCAATTGTAAAGATGTAGGGAAAAGCAGGGCGGGTTAGGACAACTGCAGTGTGCTGAGTGTTGGTGCATTAAAGAAAAAACTTACTTGGACAGGGATACATAAAATAGATTTTATATGCATTCTCAGCAGCTGTGAATTAAAACATAAGTACAATCTGGCTGGAATAATTAATTCTCAGGTGGTTGTTGTTGTTATGAACTTGGAACTGTAAATGAAAGGGCTGAAAGCAGCTTTTAAATGAGTAATTTCTTACTGCAGCCATGGACATATTTTGTGCTGCACAGAGCATTGCTTTGCTGCTGCTCTGATTTTTACCCTTGAGTCAGTCACCTTCCAGTCTGCTTCCTCTTGGTCATTGTTAATAGAATGCCTTTTTGATTACAGAAAATTGGTTGATACACTTCTCTAATGAAAATGCCAGACAAATGCTCCTTCTTGGAACTGACATCAGGAATGTTATACAAGACATTCTTAAATATGCTGGCAGCTGCCCTGAATGTAATGAAATCATGGAAATTAGAAGTATTGCTCTCTCTGTGTGGCCAGCTCAGGACTGTTTTCAGTGTGTTACCCAGTTTTGCTGTGAATTTCAAAAGGAATCCCTTTTCATTAAGTTTCCTTGGGGCATTCTTGAACTTGCTTATAATTTCTACAATCAGAAAAATTACGCTGATAGCCTAAGGTATTACTCTTTCGTTTTGGATTGCACACAGTTCTCATGCCTGCATCCCCAGTACCACACTAAATCATTCCTCTTGCAGCAGAGAGCTCACAATCTTCAGAAGATCGATAACTTTTCTGGTAGAAATGATGAAATCCTGTTCCCACTGCAGCCAGCAGTAAAATTCCCACAAACTTCAGTGGTTTGGATTTCACAGGCAGTTTTTAGTCTGCTCCTGTATGACACATTAGTTAATCCTTAACACATTCTTAGTACAGAAGGTGTGTGAATGCAGGGAAGTTGGAAAGCAGCAGTGCTGTACCCTGGGTTTCAGCAGCACCTTTTTCTGCAGGGATCACAGAGCAGCTTCAGACAGGTGAGACCAAAGCACAGTGCAAGGGATCAATATTTCAGTCTAAAGTGCAGGGAGCAGAAGGGAACGATGTCTGGGGGTGTGTGGAAGGGTATATGGAAGCACCCCCTGGCTCCCACCTTACCTTCTCTTCATCTGTGTTTTTTTCACCTGTTGCTTCTTTGTAGCCTTGGTATGTTTCTATCACATACTCTGATTTAGAGTTTTCCTAGGTGAATTAATTTCCTTTACCTGTGTTTTAGCATTCTAGCTTCTTCCTTAGCTTTCTTTGTTGGAGGTTTGCAGAACTCCCTAAAGTAATTGCAGTTGCATTCCTTTGAAGTTGTAATATTCCATTCCTGTCAACAATTAATAGCAGCATTAAGCAAGAGTCAACTGACTAAAAACCTAGTCCAGATTCATGTGCTGTCACTTCACACTTGTTGTTGGAACTAGTGAGTTCTGGCTTGGGGATGAGGAGCTGAAAGGACTGGGGTTGCCTTGGCTGGGAAAGGAGGCATGGAAAGCTGTTTGCACCTTCTTTGTTCTCCTTTCCTGCTCAGCTTGGCCACGCTGTTAGCAGTGGGCAGAGAGCTGGCAGGGTCTGCTCCCGTGCTCTGCTTTGGGTTTATTCACTGAGCAGGCTTTCATTGCAGGAGCCATGCTGTAAGAAACAGGGATGGAGGCTGAGGGATGACCTGCACTGAAGGTGGGGTCACTGTGAGGCTCAGAGAGACAAGAGCTGCTGGGAAAGAATGGCCTGGAGGTGGAACAGGGCATCTCTGTCACTTGGGATGCCCAGCCTTGCCAGGCACCCTCATTTCTGGCTGCTGCTGTTGGCACGGGGCTGAGGCAGCTGAGCAGAGAAAGCTTTCTAATGCTTGGAGGGGTCCTGGAGGGCACAGAAACCTGCTGGAGGCAGATTTCCATCTGCATGATGCGATGCAAACAAGATGGTTTCTGGCATGAAAAGCCTTCAGTTGAGACATCCAATCATTAGGAATACTATGGCCAGAAGCTTTCATAATAAATTACTGTAAAGTTATGAAAGATTGATCTTTTTTGATTTCAGAGAAAATAAATCAACAGTATGAAGTCAGCTCTGTTACAGTTTCAAACACGAGACTATTACCCTTTGCCTGAAAGATCAGAGACAAATTACTATTTTTACTTTACATTCTCTTGATGAGGATAATGATAAACATCTGTCACTTTGCTGCTTAGCCAGTTAGGAATCTTATTGCAATCTGTAATTTAAAGAGAAAAAAAAAAATAAAAGGAAAAAAATACATGAACAAACTGCACTTTATATAGACAGCAAAGAAGAAAAGAAAGAGAATAGATGTCAAATACAGGGGAACTGGGAAGGGGGCATTTTTGGTCTGTAGTTACTTGGCTAAAATCTGCAGATATATGAGGGATGTATGATTTTTTTATTTCTTTGGTATTTCACAAGGAAAATTACCATTAGTTTTTCTTTAGACATGGAGGCTAAGGAAAGTAGTCTTTGCACTGTGACTTGGCTACATGTAGTTTATTAACAAAACGTTTAAGGTTTTTAAGGTAGTGTCTACCATTGTTACAGCGTTGAAAACCCTGTTTTCATCGAGAGCCCTTTCAGTGTCCTCCACAGTCACACGATTTTTAGGAAGCACAGCTAATTGTTTTTAAAGATCAGCTGCTTTTCCAGTAATTCACCCATACTTTTGAAAGTTCTTTTACAAACACTCAGTTTTGTTTCTAAATGGTACATTGGGTCTTATTTCTTAACAAAACTAGAACTTAACACGTCACAAACATTCCATTTCATTTAGCCTGGACTGACCAATCTGTAGTTTGAAAGGTTACAAGTGCTCTACCTGGCAATGCTGCGTGAGCAGAGGCAGACCCTGCACTAGGGCATGAAACCAGGAACCCCTTCTTGGCCCAGTTTCCTGCAGGGAGAAGCCTCTTTGGTGACATGTTTGCATATTTAGCACTAATGGCCTTTCACTGGTGGGTTCGATACTGATCTCAGCTGCTCCAGAAATCTTTAAAGCACCAGCCATGTGCCAATTTTAGCTAAAAGCTCTGTTGTAAATGGAGCTGTGCTGGCAGGGCTCTGGCTGATACATAGCTCGTTCTCCTTGTTGGCTTCTTCAGTTTTGCAAGTGCTTTCTGTTTCTTTGTGTTCCTCACGTCCAAGGCCAGGTTGGATGGGATACTGAGCAGCCTGGTGTGGGGAGCTGTCCCTGCCTGCAAGGCGGGGTGGAACAACATGAGCTGCAAGGCTGAAGTCAGAAAAGTCTTCTTTGAATTCAAAAAGCTTCTTCTTTTCCAACCAAAAGCACTTTGTGGTTCTATGATTTTATGCTTCTAGGTACCCACAGAAGCATACTCAGATACTCAGATTTAGATTTTACAGTTGGTGCTATTAATGCTTTGGCAGTTGGTTTCAGGGAGAAGTTTTATATCACAGTCTGAGGAACATTATTCTTTGTACTCTCTGGGTAGAAATTCCATTATTTTGGCATCTGCAAGCCTCAGACAGCAGTCGGATTTTCACCAAAAGGTTACTATTTTTCTTTTAGGTTTTCCTATATTTATACAGGCCAGACTGAGGCAAAGTATAGGCCTTTTAGCTTCCAGTTAAAGTTCCTGGTATTTAATTAGGTCAGCTGTTTACATACAAAGAAGTTTTTTTCTATCCAGTGAAAAAGAGACTTCAAATATATAATTCAGCCTTGAGCATTGGAAGCAATGATGTTTTTGCTGTTATCTTTTACAAACCCTTTGCTTATATAAGTGCTATTCACATCTAACAAGTCTGAGACTGAACTGCAACATTTGTCACAAATAAGTCAGCTTTAAATAACAAAGGTGGGTTTAACCCACAGAAGGGTAAAATTAAAAATCCAGACTTACAGTGCTGCTTTCTTGCATGGGTCCAGCTGGCTGAATGTGAATGGTAAAAAATTTGATAACTATTGCAGTAAGTGATCTGAAATAATTTATCGGTGGGACATTTACCACTGTGTATCTTTGTCTGAAAACTTTCTTTAACATAAAATTACGAATTTGCATGGAAATACGCGTGCTTTGTGCAAAAGGTCTCATTTGGCAGTAAAGGTCCAAATTTCATGATGCTGAACACCAATGTTAAATAATCCAAGACATATTTCATATTTCATATTTTAACCTGTGGATAGTCTTTGTATGAGTTATGTTGCTGGATTACTACAGTGTAAGTCCAGGGTTTTTCCCCCCAATATGTTTCAAGTTTACTTCAATCTGAAAGGCTTTTTTTTTTCTTCTTTGTAGACTGAAACTGAAGAGAATGGCCAAGCAGATAATTTTTCAATGGACCCCCAGCTGGAAAGACAGGTGGAGACAATTCGAAATCTTGTGGACTCCTACATGTCTATTATTAACAAATGTATCCGAGATCTGATCCCGAAAACAATCATGCACCTCATGATCAATAATGTAAGTAGCAGCCACAGTTGTAAATCAGTTCAACATGTCTGTCAGATCTCTCACTCTCAAACACACCTCTGAAACACAGCAGCAACAGCAGCTACTAAAGAGAAGAATTAATGTCACACTCGTGGGCAAAATATTCCAATATTCCACAGTACTTGGAAGTTCTGCAGCCTTCTTGAAGGCTGGCACACTGCCTTGAGTGCATATCCCAAAATCCTAAAGAATTAATTTAGTTCTTAATCAGAACATAAATTATTATTTAAAAGTAAATCAAGGTGGGGGTGGTTTTGTTTTGGTTTTTATTTGATGTCTTGCTTTTGATATAACAGGAAAAGGAATTGGGAGCTCCGTGTGGGCAGCCTGTGAGAGCAGTAGAGCAGAGTTGTGCTTCTTTGGTTTTCCATCTGCAGGCCTTTGTCAGGGTTCATAAAGCAGTTCTTATTCTGTTTGGGTTTCTTTATATTTTCAGGTTACTATTTCCAAGGAATAAATCTGGAAGCTTTGGACACTGTTGTTTAGATAAGCAGATGTGGTTGGTTGATTTATTGTGTGTGTCTTTCTTAGATCTGAAGATTATTTGGTTTAAAAAACTGCTTCGTGGTACCATTGTTTTTCCACTGCAGTGGGATCTCAGTGTTCACATCCTGGCAGAGTTCTGAATGGACCTTGTTGAAAACTAAGCTTCATATTAGTGCCACTGCTGCCATACAAATTACTGATGGGACCCACACAGCCCCTGCTAGTTCTGAGCTGCACCATTTCTGAGAGGTCATCAAACCAGTCAGCCTTTACCAGTGCAATGTGCTGTCAGGCAAATGTGATTAGGAGGTAGCATATACTCTTGACTCAGAGCCACCTCTGGCCTTCATCTGATGAATTTCATTAGCCCTGTGGAGTTTGTGTTGCACTTAAGAGTTAGGTGGTTGGACAGGAAATTTCAGTGGGATTTCCATGTACATTTAACACAAGCAGAATTTTTGCATGAGGGCAAGAGATTTTTCATTAAACTTCTTCGGGCTTAGGGGAGTCAGAAAGTAAGTAATGCTCTAGTCATGGGTGAGTTTTTACAAAAAACCATGGGAACAATGGAACTGCCTTTTTTTCTGGAAATCAGCCATGCTCTAGACTTCAGAAGTTGAGTGTGTGTCCTCACTACTCTTTCCAGATCATTGCTAGCAGCTCGCTGCTTTGACTTAGCCCATCTCCAGTGCCCTAGGAAAGGCTGGGGTTTAGCTTTCATTTCATAAACAGCAGAGCTCAGTGAGCGGTTGCTTTTGAAAGCTTACATTAAATTTTCTGCCACTCACCTCCTCATCTGGAATCATTTAGGGGTCTCTGAACTGTGTGCATCCCTCAGAAGTAGATTACTGTGAGATTTTGTGCTTTCAGTCTCATCAGCTGTTGGTGACACTGATAAAGCCTGCCAGGCTGGCACACAGAAACCACACACTTAAAATATCACCAATCTTTCAGCTGACCTCGTAGTCCCAAGCTGCATTTGGGCTTCCTAGTGAGCTGAGGCCTACACCTCCATCCTAGAGGTTAAATCTGTGGCAAAGAATCCAAACATTTTAAAGAACTGTGAAGACTGACACTAGAAGCATTAATGAATTTCTTTCCGTACAGTATAGGCATTAAAATACCATATTGAAAACAATAGGTTATATAGGAATTTTTAAAAATCAGGGCTATTGAAAAGAGAAAGAAATGGTTGAATCAAGAGTGCAGAACCCTGCCAAAAGGTTGTGCAAAGATCTGGAAAGGAGTGGAGCTGTGATGGAAGGTGGGTCCTGTGAAGTTGTGTGTGTTCCTTGGAGTATTCAGAAGTCCAACCCATCCACCAGGAAAGTGAAAACACCCTCCCTCCCCCTTAATCAACATATTCTGTATTTTCTGCTGCCCCATCATGTTGCCTCCAAAACTCTGGAAACAAATTGATCCCAAGGAATTTGTTTCCATGACAATTGCAACCTCCCAAGTTTTCCTAGAACTTCCTTTCCACTTTGTGGGCCCATAAACAAGTACTTAAAATTCAAGGAAAGTATCAGATTCAAACTCAGTGTACAGAAAATAATTACATGCTGTCCCTGAGTATATTTTGGGACCTAAGCCTACGTTGTTGTAGTCCAAGTGCATCCCTTGTTCTTCCCCTAGGGTGGATGTTGATTACCTTAAAAGAAAATACATTTACCACACAGAACTGCATTGAGTTACCATTACCAATTCAAACATGCCCAAACCAAAAACACACATGCAAGTTTGTGTTTCATAGTGCCTTGGTACCCTGGATTATACAAGAGGGGTGGTCCTAAGAGCAGTCAGTGTATGCTCCATACACAGGACTGATAGTGATCTCAGCTGAGGAGAAAAACTCCAGAGGACTTGTTACTGCCAAGCTGCGGGTCCAGGAACGAGTTGTGTTTGCATTTGAGGCAGTGCCATGTGTTGTCTTCCCACTGAGGAGGTTCCAAGCCCACCTCGCCCCATTTCAGAGTGCCAGGGCAGATTTGGGGCACTGGCATTTGAATGCTTGCTATGGTTCAGCTTTGACTGCAGGCCTGATGTCTGTGAAGGAAAATGTTTTAAACCATTCCTGTGAGTCTGCTTTCCAGAAAGGAGCAAACATGAGCAAGCATCACTTTCCCTTCCATTTCCAAGCTGGAGAAAGTGGCTCTGGTGGAAGATCTTCCTCCGTCTAGTACAGCACAGGAGGGCAGGAGGCTGATCTAAGATCCATCCTTAACACAGCAGTCTTCCCTTTCCAGAGGAGTTCAGAGATTTACTCAAATCCTCTGCCAGTGACAGACAGGGAGCTCTCATGATAATTGTCACAGGCTGATTTTTTTCAAACAGATATTTGTGGTTTAACAATGCCTTTACAATCAGCTCTGGCCTTAATCTAATTTTAGGACTTCTTTTTTTGAAGTGATGCCATTAAAATGCTCATTTCATCGAGCAGAATGTGATGCTGTTTAACTATGATATCTGTTTTTAATGTGGAGTTTTTGGCAATCACAAGGAAAGTAGTGTACTCTGGCTCTTGATCAGTACCATCTACTGGAAAACAGCATGAAACTCATGGAAAAATTTTGCAGGCTTTACTAAGAATTTGTGCATCTCCTGTCATACGTGAATGGGAAATGACAGCCAAGCCCAGGCAATATGGTTTTGTTTCCCTCTGAGCTCTGTCCTGGCTGCCTGCTCATTGCTGGTGACCAGAAAGGGTCCCATGGCTGTGCTGGCTCACTGCTCTCACTGACCTTGTCTAAACACAAGCATTGCCTTAGTCTCACTGTCAGGCTTTAAATCACAAAACTAGCACAAACCCATGTGCAAACGGAGCTCCGGTTTATGTAATCAGAATCCTGGGAATGTATTATCATCAGTATCTCCAGCTCAAAAAAGCTTTATGGAGCAAAGCACCAGATGAGAAATAGATCAGAATAGCAACAAGTCTCAAATGCAAGGATTTAGTAGGTCAGCAGTTGGTCTATTTACCACAGTCTTATTTAATCAGAGTACCTCTAGCTTTTTATGTCTCTTAATGTGGCCCAGGTTTCTCTAACCAGGGCAGGCATAGCAGGAAATCAATATAGTAAATTAGATTACTTGGAGACTTCTCCCTTCAGTTTGAATGTGTGTGGATGGGTTATTCAGAATCTGACAGACTTGCTGGAAATTCCAGACTTGCTGGAATTTATCCTACAGTAGGATAAATTCTTGCTAAGAAAGTAATTGACAGGTATGCCATAAACCCTGAAAATTCCCATTCCCTGGGGAATTTATATCTGATGGTACTACCGTTTACTTCCCAGCCAGCCCTTTAGAAATGGCCCAAAATGCCAGCTGGCTCCTGGGAGCTGTTGGGAAATGAAGTGTAAGCAGAGGTGTCACCTCAGAGATGCAGAATTGCAGCAGAATTGGTGTAAGGTAGTAAGAGAAACTGATTCAATCTCCTGCTTCCATTGATCTCCCCTGTGTTGCATCGTATTTTCCATAGACTTTTGTTTGTTTCTTTGGTGGTTTGGATTTTTTTTTTCTGTCTGATAAAACAGGTAAAAGAATTCATCAACGCAGAGCTGCTGGCTCACCTGTATTCTTCTGAGGACCAGAACACTCTGATGGAGGAGTCGGCGGAGCAGGCGCAGCGGCGGGACGAGACCCTGCGCATGTACCAGGCGCTGCAGGAGGCGCTGGCCATCATCGGGGACATCAGCACCAGCACCGTGTCCACCCCTGCTCCCCCACCCGTGGATGACTCCTGGCTTCAGCAGGCACGCAGGTGAGCAGCCTCACTGCTGGACTGCCATGGAAACCAGCACAGGCACTTGTGGTCTGATGTAAATGCACGGCAAGCGCCGTGGCGGAGAAAAACAATACATCTGACTCCATGTTCTCAGAAGGCTAATTTATTACTTTATTATACTATATTATATTAAAGAATACTCTACTATACTAAAAAATACAGAAAAAATACTTGCTAAATGCTAAAAAAATAATAATAAAAACTCATTACTCTTTTCAGAGTCCCAGCACAACTTGGACCTGATTGGCCAATAAGTCAAAACAACTCACACCAGAGTCCAATCAAGCAATCACCTTAAATAAACAATCTCCAAACACATTCGATATAAGCACAACACAAAAGAAACAAATGAAATAAGAATCGTTTTTCTTTTCTCTGAAGCCTCTTGCTACCTTTCAGCTTCCCAGGAGAAAAACCCAAGGTGAAAAAATCATGTTCAAAAATGTAAATGCCACTGTGGTCAGCCTGACTGTCTGGGGCACTGCCACTGTCTTTGTTTCTTTTTATTTAAGGGTGCGATTAAGTGTGTGAGATGGTATTTTGTTTGGATGTTTATTAGTTTTTATCTCTATTACAGTTTTATAAACTGTGAGTTCCACAGCACGTCACTCAAACAAACTAAAAATGTATTTCTTTTTCTATAAGGCTTTTTAAGGGTAAACTGTCTAATTAAGAAATGACACTTAAATTATTTTTACTTTTAACTTAATAACTAACTACTCGTGGCCTGTAATGTGGACTTTTTTTATTTAATTATACAATACTACTCAAACTTGTGAAGAAAAAGATGAAGAAGGACTAGATTCTGTCTTAAAACTTTTATCTTATCTTATATATATTACTGTATTCTAAAACTTTAAGTTTTCCACCATGTGATATCACACACTTCTACTCAAACTCCACACCCACAATCCCAGTTCTGTCATTCCATTTTGGAAGCTTCTCCACGGCCTCAGGTCAAATGCAGTGTTCTCTTGGGGGTCAGTGCCTGTCAGCACAGAAAATGTAAAATTCTCAGTGACCAGGATTCCAACAAGATCAAGAGCTCCCTCCCTGTCTGCCTTTTTGGGAAGATGCTCATCCAGGTCTTAATGACATCTGTGAGGAAAATCAAAACGTTTTCCCATATATAATATGGGAATATGTTCATATACATAAACATATCCACCTATTCAGTGGGTGTGTTTATGTGAGCACTAGACAGGATATTTGCCTTGCAAAAGACCATCCAGTGGACTTACAGCTTCTCTGATGCTTCAAGTAGCAGCTGCTTCTGTCACCTCAGTTTTGTATCCACTTGGCCTCCTTTTACAAGCTGTTATAATTCAGCATGTCAGGCTCCATGTCCTAGAAATTCCACTTAACAAAACATTATTAGGACTTGAATAATAAAATACGTTTTATTCACCTCTTTGCTCGTGTGCTGTCAGTGGGAAACACGTGATTCTTAATTGTACATGATCCTCTGACACTGACAGCAAAGGAAAATGCCAATAAAAAACATCTGTCGTAAGTTTTAACTTTTGTTTAAAGTAAAATACAATACATCAAAGAAAACCCAAAACCCGCACCCCCACCTTACTGAACTGTTAAAATCTCTGATATTTCACCAGATCACCTCCTCCAAGTCCTTCAACTCCGAGGAGACCTACCTTGAACAATCCCCCAACCAGACCTTTATCTGGCCGAGGACCCGCTCCTGCCATTCCCTCTCCAGGCCCTCAGTCGGGGGCTCCCCCAGTCCCGTTCCGCCCGGGACCTCTGCCTCCATTTCCCAGTGCTGAAGGCCATGGAGGACCCCCCCAGGTTCCCTCTCGGCCCAGCCGGGCTCCTCCCAGCGTGCCAAGGTAAGAAGTTTGGTGTTCCTGGTGGTGCCATGGTTCTCTCCCTCTGGCACCACAGACAGACTCTGCACTGCTCTGTGGGTGGGAAGGCGAGCGCTGCTGCTGAGAAGGGCTTGTAGCAAAGCAGAGCTGGGCATTCCCTGCACGGTCAGGGGTGTCTGATGGAACCACTTTTAGCACATACCCTGTTTGAAAAGATAGGAAGATTTTTTCATTTATAAAAGTTCTAGTCAGTCAGTTGGAAGACCCTGATTTGCTCACATTAAGAACCCCAGTTCTGGTTGTGTTGTACCCTTATAAGTGACCAGAGGGAGAGAGAGAGAGGTTGCCTACCCCCAGGAGGAGAGGGGCAGGGGTACAGCTCCTCACTTCTGCCCTTCTGAACCCTCACCAGAGGAAGCAAGGGCTCTCCTGGGAGAGAACGAGCAATTCTTGTAGAACTAGTGGAACAAACTGGTAGGAGTCTGATTCTTGTCCTGCAAAGGCAGTAATTTCCAGACAGTTGGAAGCCGTCCCTGATTGTCTGACAGAGTACATCATATGGTACCAAGCAATTAGTTAAGGAACAAGATTATCTTCATTGCATTATTTCCTTTCTTTCTCAGGGCTTTGTATTTATAAGGACCTTTTAAAGTAGCTTTGCATATTGTATAATTTTCTATGGCATTGACTGCTTTTTTATATGTTATATGAATAGAATGTCCTTAATGTTTATTTTCACAATGTTGTAATACACTTAATCACACACACACACATACATATATATATATATTTCAAAACCTCTGATTCTGAAGAATTCATTAACTTTCTAAATTATGAGAGGCGTGGGCAGATAAGGCAATGTTGGAACAAAGGGGTTTCTCCCTTTTTGATAAATTAGCTGTTACATTGAAAGTACTCACAGTTTGGGAAAAAAAAAGAGCCAGCTAAATAGGAACTAAAACGTGCACATTTTCAATTTTAAAGATGGTAATTGAGAAGAGAAGCTTTGGAGAAGAATTTTCCTTTAAATAGGTGAGATCTGTCATAGTTGTCAGTAACTTAAATTTGAGGCTCAGTGTTTCTAATATAATTACCCTTTATAATAGAAAGCATAAATAAATGAGGTATATCAAAGGAAGGAAGTATTTTTATATATTTGCTATGCAAAGGGCGTTGTTGCATCAATGTCCAGCCATGAAATACTCTTTCACCTTAGTGAATATCCTGTAGCTTGCAGCAGGGACCGCTGGGGAGAACCTGGAATTGCCTTCCAAACTTTGCGCTGGAAGGGAAGAACCCAAGGACCATCCCCTTGCTGGGAGAGCCTGGGGCTGAGCCAAAGGGTGCTGGCCCTGCTGCTTCCTCTGTGCCATCAGAGGCCACATCAGTGGGGTGCAGGGCTGAGGTGCAGATGTGCCAGCTGTGCCACCAGAGAGAACCATGGCTCCTGTCCCCTGCCCCGCAAACAGCGCGTCTCCTTCCCCTGCCCGCCGCGGTTGTGCATGGACGCTGCTTTCCCAGGGTGCCTTGCCAAGAGCATGTCTGCTGATCATCTTCTTCATGCCAAAGGGATAGGTGGGATGGAGACCAGAAAGGAATTTTCTAGCACGCAAAAGACACGTGGGTAAGCAGCTTGGGAACGCCTCAGTCCGGGACTGCCACTGGTGGCATGAAAAGCAGTGGCGGACAAAGGAGGTCAGTGATTTTCAAATACTGTAGCTGGATACAGAATTGAATGTGAGACTGCCTGACATTTTTGTGGAAAAAAATAATCTGCAATACACATCTTCTGGACTAGATCCTAGTTCTCTCTTTTAGAGCTATGAAAGCCTCAGACAGAAAAAATCTCAACTGCTAAAAAATGAAGGAAGGGTTTGCCATTCTGCTGAAACTTCAGGTTTCTTCTGCTGACTAAACTGCGAGGGAGGAAATCCCAGGGAAGGGGCTGCAGGGGAAATCACCTGAGGGGGGGACAGTGTGGCCAGCTCCTGCACCTATTAAATGTTTCTTTTGAGCCCTGGAATTTCAGCTACGCTTGGTCTGGTTTTAATAACAGCCTTTGCAGGATCATAGGAAATTGACTCAGAAAATGGGTCTGAGATATTAAAAGGGGGAAGAAAAGAGTTTTGAGGAAGAGTTCTCGTGGAAACTTGAGCTTTTTCTGTGACTTATTTTTGAACTGGGGCGCTGTGCTCTGACTGTTCCACCACCATTTTCTGCAGCGATTCCTTGAAGTGTTGGGATCTCTCTTATCTAGGGAAATAGTTTAGCTTCCTGAGAAGAAAGCAGTATTTTTTAAAGTTTATCTCCCTTTCCAAAGGAGTTTTCTGTTGCAGGCCCTATCCCTGTCATATGCAGCTGAAAATCCTGACATGCTGAAGAAATACAAAGTTTCCATTTTCTCCTTTTCTGCCTTAAGATAAAAAGATCATTTTTAGGGGTAAGACTTGGACTGTCCTTGTCCAATGAGCAGATTAGCACACGTTTGATGTGGAAAATTTGGCACCTTACTGTGAGATACAGCCCTTCTTTAAAAACACAATTTTTTTTCTTCTACTTTATTATGATTTATCAAAGGAATTGTACAGAAATGGTGAGCTCTCGGCATTTTCTCACTGTTCCTTAATGTACAGGGAAAGGAAGACTTAGGAGAGCAGGAAATAATTTTCTTCCCTGCTTCACTCTGATTCTAAAGCTGGTTTGGGTTATGTGCTCTGAATATTTCTGCAAGGAAACAGAAACTATTTGCATGATACATGCCTCTTTTAATTAATCCCACTTGAGGTGGGTGGATCTCTCCCAGCAAAGCCTGTGAGTAAAGGCCCCTGGCTTTAAGGGCTTGATGCCAAAGCATATATGATTTGTGAAATATTCCCCACTGCCAGAATCTGGATTATTCCCCCTCTCTCTTAAAAGGCTTCAGTAGTATTTTGAAAGAAAATGCAGCTGTGTGCTTGCCGTGGTAGGATGGCTTTAAGCAGGCACTAGAAGCACTTGAGCTCACCCTGATGTGTGTTTGCCTGCCTGTGTGGAAAGCCTGTTCTTGACCAATTTAAGTTCTGCTGTGGATGCCTGATTTTTAGCTTTTAAATGTCCTGAATGTGAATCTCAGCTTTGCCACAAGGAAAACAATTGAATTGGAACTGGTTTTTCTCTTGGCAGCAGAGCCTGTGGTGTTTGTGGGGGAGGAAGGGTGCTGCCCTTTTCTCCCTGTGTCCTGCTACTGTGGATTCACCAGGGCTTTCCCAACAAAGCCCTGGTTTGGAACCAGGAGACGGTTCCTGACTTTGTCACTGAGACAAAGGTGATCCCACAGGAGGTGAAACCCTGGAGCACGTGTGTCACCCTCAGGCAGGCTGGGGCTGCTCCCCAGGGGCTGGGGCTGGTCTTTACACATGTGGCAAGTCCTGGGGAGAAAATTCACTTGTGCTGCTCACACACAGTCCCTGCAATTTACTTCCGCCCACAGGCAGCCAGCAGGGAAGGGCTGGGGCAGCTCTGCAGCTCCCCTTTGTTATGCCACCAAGGCTAATTCCATCACCTGCTGTGCTGGTAGCTAATCTACCTTGTAAGCCAGCATTACATATTTCTGCCATACTGGCAGGAAAAGGTACTTTTACCTGACAGTAATTGCAGTTAGAAATTCGCAGACAAAGTCAGGAGCATTACTGCCTGACGTCTCCCAGCCCACAGGCTCCCACTCAACTCTTTGGTTGCCAAATATCAACCATTCACAAAGTTTTCTCTGATGGATTTTTACGGATTAGAGTTCTTTGAAAAGATTTAATGAAATGTCTAACCCTGTGCATTGAATGATAAGGGGGTTTTGTGCAAAAATTGCACATGATCCTCTAAATAAAATCTGTCATAGGGCATAGGCATATAAGGCCAGAAGGGTTATCCTGCCTGAGCCTGGGAATCTTCTTTCTCCTGAAAGTTTGACCTTGCAGCCTTAAAAGCTTACTACTGTATTTTTTAATGGAATATTAATTGTAATCAAATAGTCATTGCACCAAATTCTTCTGGCAGGATGAGTGAGAGCCCACCTTAGAGTGTTTGCATGCTGACTTGGATGATCTTAATCTGAACACCCAAGTAGGAGAGCACAGCTCTCTGTCCTCTTTGAATGCATGTTTGGCAGAAGTTATATTCAAAAAGTATAGTCTGCAATTAGGATTGTTTCATGCAAGCAAAGAGACAAAAGTGTTACATGGACTGAATTCAAATTCCTGCTGAACCTCAGGAGAAAAGAAAGCCAAAGAATAATTTAATTTAATTCTGCATCTCATGTCTGTGATCAAAAGAATATACAGCTACATGGACAAAGCCAGAGCCCCTCCCAGGGGCGACACTGCCCTTCTGTAGTCAGTATGTTTCCAGCTCTGCCTGTCTGAGGACCCCAAAATCACAAGACTTAGGAGAATATCAGTTATTATTTCTGTGATTTCTGCCCAGAGGGGGACAGCCCTGTGTAATTTGTTACCAGTCTAATGTACATTTCTTGTTGAAATGCACACCCAGTAATATGTTACTTCTGCTGCCGGCTGCTTCAAGCAGCAGCAGACTCCATTTATTTTCTCTTATCTCTTAGAAGGATGCTCTGCATTTTCCCCTCCTCCACTGGGTCCTTTTTCCCTGTTTTCCCCTTTTTTCTCAGCCTTTCCCTCTCTGTCCCTTTCTTGACCATCCTGTTTGCTTCCTCTTTCACCTCGTCCTTTCACTCTGTTTCCTGCCTGGTACATTTGTCTCCTTTCCCCATGTATTCCTTCCTTTCCTTCTCACCATCTTGTCTCAGTTTCTTTCCAACTTATTCCTTCCCTGCCACCTTTGTAAATCTGTCACCTTGCATTTCTGTCTTTTAGAGTTTTTCAGTTTTCAAGCAATAGAATGCAATATTTGGCAGTCTTTCTTAACAGCAGCCTGGTGGCAGTGGCTGTGACACCCATGAGAAACACGAGCTCCTCTGCTTGGGGCAGTCACACTGCCAGGTGCAAACCTGGGCTCATCTTGCAACTTTGGTCATGGGATAGAATCAAACAATAGAATCACAGAATCCTTTGGTTTGAAAGGGACCTTTAAAGGTCATCTAGTCCAGCCCCTCTGCAATGAAGAGGGACAACAGAAGCACTGAAAGAAGGAGCATTCTGCATGGGGATAAGTATTGGAGGGGTTGGCCAGAAAGAAGGTCCCAGCAGGTTGTAAAAACATGTAAAATGTCACAATACAGCAAGTCTGGCAGTTTCATTGTAATTCTGCAGCACAAACCTTATGAGAGATTTGGAATGGCATTTGCACAGAACTGATTCTTCAGCTGCCTGAGCTGTAATGCCATGAGAGATACAGGAGAGTCTTCACTTCTGCTCCAGGAGCTTCAGTGATTGCTGCCCCTAAAAGGATGGCTCTCTTTTAGACTGGCAGTAGGATTTTGTTGCTGCCTTCCTTTATATTCCTCTCCCCCAGATGACTGTCCTGAAGATTGTGGAAAACAAAGTTCATGAGATGCCAGACATTACAGCCTGTGTGCCATGTCTGCTGCCACTGACTCTTAACCTTTCTCAGCATCTCCCTCCATCAGCCAGAGACAGGCTGTCCATATCTTCAGTGGCCCAGGAATTTTCTGATGAGCAGTTCACTATGGCAGTTAATAAAAGCATCTGAAGAATCACTTGTTCTGCATAGAGTTGAGATTTGATCTACCTACTGCATCTCAGGTAGCTGTAATCATCTTGAGTATTGTTCCTGAGCTACTTGCTCCTGCTTTATTCAACAAAAAATTGTTTTAAAACAAAGTGACATTCAACTAGGACTGTTGCAAGTCACTTTAAAAGGTCAGCAAAGAGGATCTGGCAGTGAAATGGCTTTTCAGCACTCTTAGTGTAGACCAGAGCTATGTGATGGGGAAGGGTAAGTAAAAGAGAAGCAAGAGGGGGGAAGACAGAAAAACAAGGAACCTGAAAAGCATCAAAAAAAGTGATTCTGGAATAACGATGATGTTGCAAGTGCAGTCCTCAAACATAGTAGGAGTGTCAGCTGATGCACTGAATGAATTTTAGCAAAAATTTGAGTTTGGTTTGGTTTCGGTTCTTTTTTTTCTTCCTTAGCATTTTCTCTCTCAAGATACTATTAACAGAAGGATGTGGTTTTATTTGTAACATCTCTCTACCTGAAGAAAGAGAGTGAAGCAACAGCAGTTGTTTGACAGAATACAGGAACTGAAGATGAGTTTTGTCCCGATAAATGATTTAGTTTCATGACGGAGTGGTTTAATAACAGTTGCCATTAAGACATTGCAGGATTAGAGTGATGGTGTTGAGCAGGGAATTCCTGCCTTGTCTGAGAGAGTGGGCGAATAGCAGTGCATTTCTAGGCTGCCTTATGCTAGAAGAGAAAACACCTGAGAGTAAACAGAGAGAAACAGGCATGATTTGAACTTCCTGCACCTGCAGGCATCTTGAAAGGCTGTCTTGAAACTCTCCTGTCCCCTGCCAGCTGTGTTGGATCAGTAGTGAATGAGGGCACTCCATGGCTCCACTAACAACACTGGTAACCCCATTAGTTGGCATCATGGACAAGAAGAGGTGCAACTCCAGCTGGAGGTGACAACCAGGACATTTTCTCCCCTTCTTGCACCAAGGTAAGTAAAGAGGAGAGAGGCAACAAGGCAGAGGAAGGTCAAAGCTGAGTAGGAAGGAAGAACAGAGATGTATTCAAAAGGGGTTCACACTGATGGCAAACAGTGCAGCTCACACAGAGCAGGGCACAGGTCCTGAGCTGCTGTGAAAAGATCAGATGTTCTTCCTGCTGATTTTGTGGCCCTTCTGTTGTCATCGTCCATGCACAGAACAGCATTCTGAACGCTCCCACTCAGCACTCCTAACTTTCTCTTCTTCATGGCCAGCTGTGACCCTCTGGGCCATCCTAAGCCAGGATTTCTGAAAGGTTGGGACAGTATTCCACAGATGCACTGCACACTTGCTTACTTGACATGTTCCCTGCTGAAGGCAAACAAGAAAACACAGTTTCTTAAGAATAATCGTCTGTCTCGGTCTCTCAGTTGAATTAATTTTGTGTTTATTTAAGCTGAGCTTTTCATATGACACATTAATTCCCTGAAATGACTAATTTGAAAATGCAGTGTTCACATAAACATACAATATATTTGTATGTGTGTGTGATGGACGTTGATTTATTATGGTCATATAGAAAACATAGCTTGAGTTGTAGATAATAAATTATTCTGCTGGAACATCATATTTTGGACCACATTGCCTCTGAAAGGAGTATCTGTATTAAGTTAAATCACACACAGTGGAACCTCACTAACCCTAGTGCTTTCAAACAGTGTAAGCCTTTGAATTCATGGAGATTTATTCTGCTGCCAGTGTAGTGGTGGCCAGTGGAAGGACACATTCTTCCCATTCACTTTTTGTTGTTTCTTTCAGTTAAAAGAAATAGCTGTTTGATAAAACAGCATAACCTAATAACCTTAACTTGTTTATACTGAAGAAAAAAATTCTTCCACTGAGAGAGCACTGTGCAGCAGGGTCATTTGCAGTTTTGGGGTTCAGCTGTAGGGACAGCTGAGGCAGTCCCTGGCAGTACAGTCTGAGCATAGCCCTCCGTGCTTTGTAGAGCCTGAGCTCAGCTGGAGAACTGCTTCAGAACTAGCAGCCACCCTCAAAAGCTGTGCTCTGTGCCTGAGGGCTGCCCCTCCTGACCTGCCTGACCATAGTGATCCTGTAGGCAACGCTTACTTACAGACATTTTGTGTTCAACAAAATGACATTTTCCAGTACAGAAAGAAATCTGAGCAATTTTCTCTCTCTTGGACCATTCCACTAGGCTAAGGGAGCATCTCAGGCAGATATTCCCCAGCTCCTTTCACCTTTCATCACCACTCCATGCAGCTTCTCATTTTCCCCATGATCACCATCTCCTCCTGATCCCTGTCCATGATTCCTACTTTACTCCTCCTAATGTCATCATCCTTTTTCTGCTTTTCCTGCTTTGTTATGACCTGTGTCACCAGGACCAAGTGCCTTTCCTCCCCCTGGCTTTCCCACTTCCACTCCCAAGGTGATGTTTGGGAGACTCTGCAGCAGCTGTGCTGCATTTGCTGTAGGACAGAGTTTAAGCCTGCACAGACTGAAGACTAATTATGTCTACAAACCTAATTTGTTTTTGAAGCATGATGGGTACAGTACTTTCACTTCTGGTTTGGATTGTCCTCCAGATCCTGAGGCTGATGGAGGTCGAGAGATGTCATACAGAAGTTAGGCTGACACAAGAACCAGAAAGAATAGAGGGTGTAGGTCTCTCAGGATCTCACTGAAACAGAGAAAACCAGAGAAACAGTACAAAAATACTATCAGTCACAGCATTATAACTTTTTCAGGAAAGCTGCTTAGTTCTCAGGACCAAGCTACTTAGTTCTCTAAATAATCACCCAAACAGGAAACCAGATTTATTCCTCACCTGCAGTAAGCCACTGCGCTAACCATATGTGTCACATTCCAGGTTTGTTCTGTCACCTAAAACAAATTTGCCTGCAGTCAGTCTTAAAGCTGCTTAGAGATTTGAAGTATTTTCTTGTTAAATTCTACAAAGACGATGTCACGTATCGGGGTACTCTGAGAGGGCTGCGTTATGGGGAAACCAGGATGATGGAAAAGGGAGAGAATAATGGGCTTCTGTTCGCAGCTTCAGATCTATAGGATGTATTGTAAAATAGAGTTCTGTTCATGCCTTCCACGAGTGTTCTCTGGTGGTCACAAGCAAGCAAGAACGTCAAATATAAGTGGAAATGAAAGCCTTTTATTTCGAAGTCCTCTGGCTGTGCTATGAGAAGCCATCTTCGAGCGGGGCCTCCCATGGTAATTACAGCCATGCTTTACTGAAAGCACATTTTGTGCGCTCCGTGTGGGGAGCGATAGGACTTCTCAAAAGGCAAAGGCTCGAAGAACTCCCATATGTTTCTGATCTAATTTTAAGTCTAGACTTGCTTTATTTAGTTTCTTTTGCTCGGCATTTGCCTAGCTAAAGCTTTTAGGAGTTCTTTTAAAACTGGAAACATGGGGGGGGGAGTGCGCACTGCTAAGGTTAAAAATAAATGTAAAAACTTTTCCTTTTTTAAAAAGTTTTTGCACGGGGGTAAGAGCTCCCCTCTGTTCAAAACCCCACTGAGCTCTTCAAAGGAGAAGTCTCTGCAGCAACATCAGGGAGTTATTAAATACATACTTAGTCCACAATTTTCATTGGTAAATTCTTTATGTCTGCTTAATGTGTGCTAGTTAGAAGTGATTCTTTTTGCAGACTCGTTTACTCAACCCCGGGGGGACCTATGATCTCCTGCCCCTTTAGCACTAACTTTTACAAACAGTTAAAAAAAAAAAAAAAAAAAAAAAAGGCAGCAAAACAAATACCAACAACCCCAAAGACCAAGACAGTGAGTTAAACGGGCCAGGCAGCGGGACACAGCCCGAAAACGGACAAGAGCCAGAAGGGTTTCCCGCAGCACTGCCGTTCCCCTCGGAGCTTTCTCCGGGCCGGGGCCGCCCCGCGGGCTCCGCTCTGCGGGCGCTGCCCGGCTGCGATAACCGGGACAGACCCGGCCCGCGCCGTCTGCGCCGCTATCATCCGCTGGCCTCAGACTAAACATTGAACTGGGCTTAGTCACATATTTACTCACTGCGATGGCAGCTAGCGCGGAGCAGGCCTGCGGGGGAGGCTGTTTTTGCCCGGTTTCCCCCGGCCGGCCGCGGGCAGGCTGGAGCTCCCCCTGCCGCTCTGCAGGCCCGCTCCTCGGCTTGCCGGGGCGCCGGCGGCTCCCGGGCCGAGCCCACACTCGGCTGCTTCAGGGCTGTGCTCGGTGCAGCTGCCCCGGAGTTGGTTGCTGGCTCTCTAGGTGGCCCAGGCTCATGCACCGCTCCTGGGGCTCCCGGCCACTGCTTCGGGCGTGAAGGAGCCAGGGAGAGACAACAGACACGAGGCTTGGCCTCGCCTCTTGTTTTTGGGGTTGAGATTCCTGTTAGGGGGTGAAAAACGGTCTGAGTGCTACTCCCAGTGTAGAAATGGTCACGGAATGATTTGTCACCTTGACAGGGAAGTTTAGGGCAGGTAACTTCAGGGCTTGTTCTTTCCTTCACTTGCACTCGAGCTCCAGCTTGCTGATGCCGAGTGCCAGTGGCAAAGGAAAGGGAAGTCTGTTCCCCAGGCTGAGCCCCTGCGCTCTGCCCAGGGCCTCGGGAGCACGGTCCCCCTTCCTGCACTGCACCGGGAACTGCAGATATCCCAGGAGACCGCCAGCAGCAGGGCTGGAGGGACACGCTGCTGCTGCAGCTCTTTTCCCCAGCGCTGCCTTTCCCAAACATTGCCCCTCTTCTAGGAGACTCTGCAGGTGGAGGTCCTGCTGCCCCAGTCTGGTGTGGAGGGTTCAGGAGCTGGGAGTGCACGGGAGGCAGCTGAGGAGGGCTCTGCCTGCTCCTCACGGATGTGCTGCCCATGCCCACCGGGAGGACACACGGGAGTTTGTGTCACAGCATCCCAGACACACGTGGGAGCATCCACAGGCGGGTCAGAGCATCCGCAGGCGGGTCAGAGCTCCCCGCGCTGAGCCCTCTGTAGGGCAGTGCCACAGGGACAAGGATGGGTGGTTCGGCAGCAGCTCCTCATCACAGCATCCCTTTGGGGAAATCAGCTTCTCCTGAAGTGCTTGGTGCTCTGCAATGGGAAAGAGCTAATGGGGAGTTCTTCCCTTCAGGTCTGTACTGGGCTTGAGGGGAAATTCAAAGTAGCGGTCAGGGTGCAGTAACAGCCCTGGTTCAAGGGGGAAACGGGGCTGGGGCCTGACGGTGGTTCAGGTTTGGTTTGACTGATTTTATCCAGGAAATCCTCCCACTGTGCTCTCCAGTTTCTGATCCTGCTGTGTTAAATGGCAATTTGGCTAAATGGCATTATTTGAATCCAGTGGGCTGCGTTTAACCTGGTATTAAAATGCATGTTTGGGCTTTTAAATTTGATATGAAGACAGCTGTATGCATTTTCCCTTGTTTGTCAATTGCATACATATGATACGATGTTTTCAGTGAGCACTAAACAATGCAATGTGAGGCATTTCAACAAAGGAATAATTTAATGCAACCCAGCAGAAATGCAGAGCCTTAGAAGTGGTTCTTTATGAAACTACAAATTTTGGAAATGGGTCCAGAAGACCTACACTGGAGCAACACAAGAAACAATAGTTAACACAGTAACATTTTTCCTGTAAGAAAAATACACCATGAAGAAATTATATTTTCCCTTTTTTTTTTTTAGTTTGTTGATTTACTTGAATGCTTTAGTTGGCATATTTTGTATTTGTTGCATGGTAGGGATTAAAATTCTCATTTCTTCACCAAAAGAGAATATTGTCGCACAAGATGCACTTTGAGCCAAACGAGATTTTTTTTTGTCAAGTGTAAATTTGTCTCACATATTTTGTTCCAGTTCAAAGAAAATTAACACATTGTTACATTCTTTTCATCTTCAGTTTAGCTTTAGCAGAATGAGACACATTTCCTTCCTAATCTTCTTCAGAGCCACAATTGTCCCTGCTTGCACAGGTGGAGGATGGGTTAGGAAGGGCTGCACATTTGTTGGGGCAAATTGTTAATTAATTTATTATTATTATTGTTATTAAAAATTATTAATGAGCTCTATTGGAAATTATGGGAACCAGCCTCAGCTCCCACCTTGCTCAGAGTCTGGGTGCAGCCATGGGCTCTCCTGGTGATCTGGGCTGGGTTAAGGAATAGAGAGAGAGTACCTGGTACTTCCTGCTAAAGAAAGGGAGCAAAAACACCCTGTAGGACATGGATTGGGATAAATGCAGCAACAGAGCACTGCTGGAGGCTGCTGGACAGCTGGGTGGGGGAGCAGGCTGGCTGGCAGGAGCTGTTTATCCCGCACACCGCAGTGCCAGGCAGGGCTGTGCGAGCTGCTGCAGGCAAGTGTCAGTCAGATTCTGCATGGGCAGAGGTGGAATGGAGCATCAACAAAATACTCTTTTGTTGGAATTACCTCCACACAGCCCTGAGTGGACCTTCCTGCACACAAAAGGTAAAGTGTTACATAGCTACCAGAGGGACTGGGTGTTATCCTTGGTGAAGGGAGGGAGGGAGGGATAAGTGCCAGCCTGGACTGCAGGTAGGATGTGATTGGAGATCACACTGCTGCTAACTCTTGCTCTGGGATCTCTTATCAGAGGATGACACAGTCCAAATTAAAATGCAGGGGTTGCAGTACACAGGAAAATCGAATGAAGGCACCTAAGTCTTCCCAAAAAAATCTGTGACTCCAAAGCACTTCCTGAAGTTGATAAAAAAATGCATTTGTGGTAAATTAATTAATCCAGCAGCCCTGGCCACGACTGGCATTTTCAAAACTGGCCATTGATACAAAGCCTCAAAATGTGCCTCAGATTCAGGCACATTGATAGGACTACAGTCTGCCCAGGTATGCAAGAAGCTGCGGATTTTCCTACTCCTGTAAAGCAGACCTGAAGTTGCTGCAGGCTGCTTTCCCCAGTCCTATTGCCTGCTCTGAAATGTGCCTGAAGGTCTGCTCTGTGACTGTCCAGGCTGGAAGTGACCCCTAAAACCAGGGAATAACGACCCTGCCCTGCTGGTTTGCGTGGCTCCAGAAGGCAGTGGTGTGTGCAGAACGCCCAGGCCGTGCCCAGTGGTGGGTGAGAGGGTACAGCATGGCAGAAATGGCAGAGCCATTTCCTCCTTCCTTCCTGCGGATGCTCAGGGGTGTCTTGCTTCAGTGCGTGGTAGTAGGATTGTTGTGTGTACAAGCACGTGCATGTCCATGTCACAACAGCCAGAGGTGTGGGCTTGTGCTCAGTGTTTGTGCTCATTGTTTCTTCTCTCTCTCTCTCCAGTCGAAGACCGCCCCCTTCACCTACTCGGCCCACTGTAATCCGCCCGTTAGACTCCTCCCTGTTAGACTAAAAGGAGTTTCTGGCATGTCACTCGTTGTTAACCAAATATGTGGAAACAAATTGCTTGGTAACTGTCACAATAACCAGTGTATAGTCGCATGTATGGACATCTCTAGGCAAGTAACCAATTTTACTGATATTCTCTGTCCATTCTGCATTGTTTATGAGGTCTTCAATGTTTGGGGAAGGTCTGTGTTGCCTTGACTTTTCCTTCTGCAATAACTGATGTTAGCTAACTTACTGACACATATCTCCACCCAGCCAACTGTGCTCACAGTCCTCTACAGCAGCTGGAGGGCTTCACTCTGTGTGTCTTTGTGCATGTGTTGATTTGATCTGCTGCTTTTTTTTCTCTCTTACCTGAAAGGAATCTTGCTTTTGTTTGTACCTTCCAGGTTTTCTATTTTCTCTTGTAATGGCTAAACCGGGCAAAGAAAAGCCATGTGGTTTCTTACCAAGCTCTTCTGAAGGCCCCACACTTCCAGGTCTTTCTTGCAAGAGGCTTGCTTCTCCTATAAATTCTCCTTATCCAAAATTTAGTTCTAAGGAATGTTGTTAAACGAGCAGGGTGTGGGTAGGACAAGGCATGTTTTGCTTTATTCCCATGCTGGCAGCTGCCATGCCAGGTTGGTTGGGTTGGTGAGAAACAGCCTGGGGTGCCCCAGCTCACAGGGCTCAGCATGGAGATCACAGCCAGGAGGGGACAGGGGTGTGACACAGCAGCGTGTGCCAGCTCCCTCTGTCCCTGCTCACTCTCCTGCTCCCACTGCGCTCCTGGAGCTGCTGGAGGGGAGTGAGTGCAGGGAAATGAGCTGTGTGCAGGATCCAGGGAACTGAGCACTGCTTTTGGTCCCTTTGTGACCCAGAAGGACACAGACACGTGCACAGCTGGGCGTGGGGCCCCCCTCCTGTGCCCACCGTGGGAGCTCCAGCCTGGGCTGGCAGCTGAGCTTCCCAAGGGCCAGGTTTGGATGTGAGATATTTGTGAAATTTTCACATGCCAGTCAGTAAAGTGTCCCTGTGTCCCCTGTGTAAAGATTTTCTTTCTGCATTACATGGTCCTTGCACACACCTTGGTTTACTGTTGCTTTATCCAGCTAAGTTCTGGGAAGTGCTCAGCTGTGCATCCTGGGTTATTTTAGCAGCTGCTCACTTGCAGAGGTGCTCTCTGCCTCTTGTTTTGCACGTCATAAATTAATGCATTATAAAAACCTCTTGTCTTAACTGCATTACTTCACTTTAAACACTTAGAGCCAGTGTCACCCTTAAAGCTTAGAACTTAGTGAGTTAACAGAATGAAACTAGAGAGGAATTTGGCCTTGTTCCTTCAGAAAATATTAATTGCTGTTATTAAAATTATGGTTACAGATCCCTTGGCAAAGCAATTGGTGGTTTCAAAGGCCCCCAGTACAATCAGTCTAATAAATGTATGTATTGAGACTGCTTGTAGGGCTCCAGTATGCTGTAGCCCCATGGTTAGGAAGAATCCAATCAAAGAGCCACAACAAATGGGGATTTAGCCTGTTAATTCCCAGGCTGCTGATTAGCCGTGCTCACCAGTGTAGCAAATCATGTTTCAGCCTGCAGAAGAGAGACGAGCTTGGGAAAGCATCGTGATTTGTATGTTAGCTTCACTTTAATTTCCTGTCAACCCCATCCTTGTGACACATGCCTGGGGAGTCTGGAGGTCACATGCAAAGATGGAGTTTGTCAGAGCCCTGGATCCTGGTGATCTCAGCAGACTGCTGGTGTTTGTTTGGGGAGCAGGTCCATGTCTCCAATGCCAAGTGCACAGAATCAGCTTTCAAGGAAAAGAAAAGTTTGAAAACACAACCACAGTCATACTAGTTTTCACTACAAAAAAGAAAACAATTTTGATGATTCTTCTTGTCTTCTACACAGCTTTCCACTGCTTAGTGCTCTCTGCTGTAACCTGTGCTGCATCTGTTGGATTTATTTTTGTAAATAGCCACAATAGCCCATATTGTTGCCTTGCCAGCACTCCTGTATATCCAAACAGTTTATCAGAACTCTGTTACTGACTGGCAGCTGCCTGCTGATGGGAAGCCAGGTTTAATGCCTGGGCCACAGAGATCACTGATATCACTTTGATCTCAGAATATCAAATTATCATACTCACTTGGTGATAGAAGACCAGGATGGATGGGTCTTCCACCTTCTAGTGGAAGGTGTCCTGCTCATGGCAGAGGGCTTGGAACAAGATGAGCTCCATGGTCCCTTCCAACCCAACCCACTCTAGGATACTGCAAGGCCACGGTCTGGGTTTATCCCACCACAGCCCAAGGACTCAGCTTAGTTGTCTTTTGTCCAGTGGGAAGAGCATGACCCCCAGGAGGTGATTCAGGCCTGTGTGGCTGCAAGGGACACGAGGGCAGTGCTGGTGAGTCAGGAGCCTCAATTACATGGCACAGCTCCTGGCCTAGAAACGTGCTTTTAAATGCTCTCTACTTGAGACTCCCAAATTTAATGACTGTTTCTGCCAAGCATAAGGGAATAGGTGGCACAACTGAGCACTGTCCTTTATTCTGCCCCCAAGAAACTTATTTCTCAGCAGTAATACTGAATTGTAAATAAAGCTCTCAAGGGTGGATTTACCCAAAAGAGGAGGAGGAGGCAGTAAGGCGTCAGTACCATCTGGTCCTGTGCTTGATGCTGAGGGTGCAGGACACAGCTGCACAGCCCTCCTTCCTCTGCATCCTCATTCAGATGTCATCTAAATCCGGCCCTGTGCCCTAAATGCAGCACTTTTAGGTGTGCAGGTTAATAAAAAACCATGAGCATGAATCCAGGGTTTACTCATTTCACCTCTTCTTGCGTATGTGCTTGTGAGAATAAACAACGTAAAGTTGTTTCTAGGAAAAACACTTGAATGCTTCCCAAGGAATTGCCACATCTAGTTGAGTAAGTACTGTCCTCCAGCCTTGGCCCACTTCCTTCTGCTGTAGAGTGCCTGGAACGGGTTTGTTTGTCCCACTTACTCCTGATGCTGGCGAGTCCCGTCCATCCTGTCCCTTGTTCTTAGAGGAGCAGCCTTGGCAGCAACTCACTCCATGCCAAATGGAAAGCAGGACGAGCGCCCTGTGGGTCTGCCAGAGGGACTGAGCACCTCTGCAGAGCCACTTAGATGGGATGAACCACATCTGAACTGTGTCTGAGATGCACAGGTTGCTCTGCCCTTCTCTGCTTCCCTCTGGCACCGCTCTGGTAGCCAGGGCATAGTGGAGCAATAATGAAGCAACACCAGAGTTTCTAATCTTACATGAAGTGCACAAAGACCTGTAGTTGCTAAGATTCCAGAGGGTGCTCATCTAATTCTGCATTTAGGCTGAACCTGGATCTCTGCCCAGAGAACATTTGCACCTCACCCCGCTGTGGCTGACCACCAGCTGAAGAGCTTGTGCGTGCCGTGAACAGCTCTCGGCCTGGCATCTCAAGGGATCTTGTGCTAGGGTTAAAAAGATTGTATGCTCAACAAAAAGGCTTATGTACATAGTTAATGTGTGTTTATTTTATTGCTGATCTTGTTGCACTTTCTGAGCAAGCCTTCTAAAAGTAGATTATTTATTATATTAAAGAAGATACGTTATAGGTTATGGCATTTCGTGTTCAAGTATAACATAGAAAATACTATCCTCTCAGTTCCAGACAGCTCCACTAACCATGATGTGTACAGCACATTGAGATTACTGACTAGTTCTGTCCTTCTGTCTTAAAATAGTCCAACCCTCCTGAATTGAGAGCAGACCTGCTTTGTCCCTGTGCCACCAGGGAGCCTCCCGGCGCCCTCCTGGCACAGCTCCTCCTGCTGTGGCACTGCCCCTGCTCCCAGGCTGGTGCAGAACAGCTCCCTCGTGTAAATGAATGTTACTCTGCCTGTCTTTCCTCTTGCTTTGTCTGCAGGCGAGCTGATGCCGACGGCTCCTCCCGTCCAGACAGCCCTCCACTCTTGCTTGATCTATGATTTGTCCCGCCTTGCCGGCCGTTTGCTTTACTGCTGTCTCTTTACTTTTCCAGGACAGTCTAAACCATGACTTCTTTTTTGTAAGAAGCAAACGCTTAATGTCTTTCTGATTTTTTTTTTTTTTTGCTCTGTATGTTAATGCCCTACTTCATGTGAGCCAAAACATCTGCCTTTGGTTTCGTAATCTGTAAATGGTTCCTGGTGTTGACCTTTGAGCACAGCGAGTGGATTCCCGAAACCGTGGTCATCACTGAGCATCACATACACCTGCTGTAAAAATGTTCTGCTGCATTTCTGAACCTGAAATAAACTGTCATTCTTGATGGGCTTTTATTATTACTTTCTGGATGTGTGTGAGTGGTGTCTTGTCTCTTGCACCATCATCTCAGCATTCCACACTGCCTCGGTGGGGACTGCAGGGAGGATTTATTGGAGGTGCTGCTGTGCTGAGATCACTGGAGATGTCATTAAAGGGGAGGTGGAACCCGTTGGGAAGCATTCAGCCTGCTCCCCTGCAAGGGGCTTGGAGTGCTGCAGAGATATTTTGCTGGGAAATGGATGAATGTTTTACAAGCAGTACCTGGGGTTCACTTCATTGCTGGGGAAAGCACGTTCAGAGGAGTTTCAGAGCTGAGCAGAAGGCCAGACTCAGTCCTCCAAAGCAGGAGCTGGAGTTAAAATATGCCTGAAAGGGATTTCCCCCTAAAGATTGTGTACAAATGTGCAGATGTCCTGATTGCTCAGTTCCTCCTGCAGATCGGGGTGAGCCAAGTACTGCAATCAGTGCTTGGAGATGGTCTGCAGGGCACAAAGAACACAGCAGCTTCCTGTGGGAACCCCACAGTTGCTAAGTGGGTCCTTAGGTTTTGGGAAAAGAGGGAGGAAAAGGTGGGATGAGCAAAGCAGGAACATCCCTGCAGTATCCTGTAACATTTGGAGATTTCTTTATTAGTCTTTAAGGCCTTGGCTGAGGCACACCCCCTGAGGGAACAGCAGTGTCCCACGTGTCCCCTCTGACTGGAGCCCGTCAGGACCCCTTGGATGAGCCTGGGGACAGGAATGTTGGTCAGGGAGAGCTCAGTGCTCTGTGCTGGGTACCAGGAGGAGCAGCTGCTCTGTGCACTGGGCCCTCACTGCCTGGGGCTCTCCAGCTTTGTTCTGTCCTTTCCCAGCAACGTCCCCTCCTGACACCCCAGTGCAGCCCACGGGCCATCCCGTTTGATCATTCCTCATTTCATCAGAACCTCACAGAAGTTCTACTCAAGAACAGTGTTTGAAGCTGATAGTGGTGAGAATTTTAAGGCTGCCTGGGGAAAAGCTCTTGCAGAGGGTATAATTTGCTGCAAGAAAATTAGAAAGCCTGTGACCAGTGACCTCCACACCTGGGATGGGATTGTTCTGGTTCTCTGGCACTGGCAGGTCAGAAGGGAGGCGGTGAGGATGAAAGCCAGGCTGTGCTGAGAGCCAGCTGATTCTAATCTTGCTCTTGCTCTTTTCTTTAATATGCATGTTCTGTGCCTTTTGCTCTTAACCCATTTTATTAAGATAATTTTGTATATGAGTCATTTTATTGTATCTTGGCCTTTTGTTTTAAATCTCCCCCTCTCTCTATGATTTTTGGGTTATTTTTTGGTTTTTTCCTAGGCGACCTCCACCAGCTGGTCCAGGAAGATCATCCTAACACACACATTTCTTTTGTGTCACATGCAATGTCTTTTTTTTTTTTTTTTAATCCAAAATTACCTTTAATTTGCACTAGCCTATTTGTAAATGAAAGATTTTATTTTCAGATGTCAATGATAAGCCTGGATGTAAAAAATAAAATTCTGACTACAAAAGGAGTGTGTCCTGTGTTTCTGTTGAAGGGTCTACTCACTGTTTCTCACATGAGGACATTCTTACCCTGTGGGAGAAATTACCTGGGCTCTGTGGAGGCTCCCACCCTCCAAGGTTGTGGAGGGAGGGATGGACATTCTGCTGGAGTTCCAGCACTTCTGAATGCATTCAGCACCAGGATTGCTCCATATCAATGTCTTTGGCTTAGCACTAGCAGGAAGAACAGCCAGCAGAGTTCCAAAACATGTCCATTGCACCAGCAGCAGCACCTGGCTGAGCGGAAACTCGAAGGAGAAGATTGCAGCAGTCTCTAGACAGTCTCTAGACTGATTAATCTGCACAATTATAAATAAATTGCAGCTGTTCTGACCATTTTTCTTCAAGCTAAGCCTCTGAATTCCTTGCAAGCCAACCTCAGTGGAGCATCTGAGCTCAAGCAGCTGTAAGGAGCTACCTCTGGGATTCCAAATGTGTCCATCCCTATGGGAAAGAGAAAATCTGGGATTTAGATGATGTGCTTGTTTTGGGTGCCAAAGAAGTCTGTGAAGGGGCAGTCTGAAAAAGGGGGAAGCTGATGGGTTTAACTGGCTGGTTTTCCTCACAGGAAGGCCAAGGGGGTATCCCAAACCATGCAGGTAAGGCACATCTGGGCACTGGGCTCCAGCTTGGTGTCCAAAGCAGAGGTTCCTGGGCAGCAGGGAGGTGGTGGTGAGAGGGAGCTGCAGGGCTGCTGCTCGGGATAGGCAGAGGAGGGATGAGATCACTTTGGGTGTGCAGAAGGGGCCAGGTGACAGCCAGCCTAGCTTGTTTTCCAGCCTGGTCTGATGCAGCTTTGCTGAATTTGGGCAGTTCCTCTTGTTGCAGCTGATTTAGGTCCTGCTGACCTCTAAAATATCCAGGGAGCTGCTGAATCACCTGCATGAGCTGGTAAATACCAGACACTGAGTTTGCTCAAAACAGAAGGGGATGTAAGCCCAGAAAGCTGTAGACATTTTTCCTTCTTCTCACTTAGACTTGGTCTTTTGGTAGAGCAGAAGAGAGAAACTGCAACGGTGTGGTAAAAAGTGGGGAAAACCCCAAACCCTGCTCAATACCTTTGAACTGCATGTGCTAAACTGGGAATTGCTGAGACTGGGCCAGGTGCTTCCCAGCACCCAGGGAGATCTAGAGTTCCAGGAAAACAACTGTCCGAAGAATGGAGTAGCTGAGGGTGGCTGCAGCTTTCACCTGTGGAACTCAGCAGGTGCTGAGGCAGAAACCCCTGAGCAGAGTTCAGGAATTGTGCACTTTAAGGACTGCTGCAGAAGCAACAGTGTTTGTACCTGGTGAGCTCTTGAGCAGGTTCTGCCCATGCCTCAGGTAAAAGGGAAGGGGGATCGACTGAACTTTACAAGCTGCTTTTCTTGCAGGCTGTTCAAAATTCTGTTCTGCACTGGGGGAAGCTCTCCCTGCAATCCCTCTGAGCTACAGCACGGTACCACCAGCAGATAAAAGGTGGATGATATTTTAGCTCAATGGCCTGGCCGCAGCACCCAGCCAGGAGCTCCCAGCTGCCTGATGGCCTCCACACATTAGGCTGGAAGGCACAAACTGGTTTCTTGGGGCATTTTGTGGTGGTAAATCCTCCACACAAATCTTTACCTTCTTACAAAATATTTGTTAAAAGATATTGTTGAAAATAGGACTCCAGATTCCATGGGTTTATGGCAGCCATTTCCAATATCTCCTCAGCAGAAAGGCACAGGAGCTGGTGTGCTGGGAAACCCTGGCACATCCTTCAGCATCAGCTCACTGGGTGGCTTTCTGAAGAAGCTGTTCCACCTCGTCTGTGCTGTCTGCAGCCTGCCCTGGTGTTGTGGCCAGGGGCAGGACAAGGGTGCTGCACCAGTGACATTTCAAGGCAGTGGGTGGGTTGGGAGCAAAATACTGTTTTGGTTTCCTGATCAAAGAGCCAAGCTTTGTTCTTCACAGGCTTCCCAGATCCAGGCCCCCACGTAGGGAGGGACGTGGCCCCCTGAGAGCACGGTGTGGGTGGCTGACACTGGCCTTTCCCTGCAGCAAAGCTGGGGATGGAGATTCCAGCTGGCACGTGTCAGCAGCTCCCCCAGGAGCAAGGCTGATCCCCAGCCACTTCACAGCTACTCACATTTGGCCAGCTTCAAATCAAAAGAAAAAGTCCCATGGAAGGACTGATCTCAGTGGACTGAACCTTAAGGGAAAGAAACTTGGAATGCAAAAGAACATTTAACCCCTTAGGGTTGGTTGATGAAGTGTTTGTTGCATCAACAGCCAAGGACGCACTTCTTGGGTCTCAGTGGGGGTTTGCTCAGGGAGCAAATGCCCAAAGAGCACCCAGCTGTACTGGGTAAGTGTAGAGTTATGGCCAAATCCTGCTCTGTAGAGGGTATTCTGACCTCAGGCATGCAGACATACCAATAATGGCCATTTACAGCAGCTTAAATTGCAGCAGCACTGCAGAGCACGTGTCCTCAGGAGAAGGTCAGGGAAGTCCCAGGGAAACCCTGCCTGCCCTTTGTGTCTCCTCCTCTCCTCTCCCTGGCTCTCTTCTGCATTCCTCCTTCCTTCAGGTCCCTTTGTGCATTCAGGCTGTGGATTTGGTTTTCATTTCCCAGGTTAGGGTGGGCAGGGTGTCTCTGTGGGCAGGTGAGGGGAGCTGGGCCTTTCCCCAGGCGGTCTCTGGGGAAGGACTGACGCTGTTCTGACCTCATCCTAGAATTGTGTGGCTCGTTCTAAGGAGATGAAGGATGGGCAGAGCAGAGAGGGCTGGAGCTGTGGGCAGCGGGCAGTGCTGGGTGGGACACAGTCTGCATCCCCTGGAGCTGGGGGATGGAGCTGCTGTGAGTCCCCGGATCTGCACAGGTCCCTGCTCGGGCTGAGGGCAAGGTGGCAGCCTGTGCCCATCTCCACCACCTGAAATGTTTGAGTGGTCAGCACTTGCAGTTTTCCTAACCCACGGCTGCTTTTGACAGTGTGAATTTGGGAAAGGTATTTTTGTGGGGAAGTGTTTCCCCCTGGAGGAGGGGGTGCAACAAAAACTCTGCTTTCTTGCAGCCTCTGCTGTGATAGCCAGGGGCCAAGCAGACGAGATTTGGTTTATTTTTGATTTACGTTCCAGCCTTGCCCCTCTACCCATGGGCTCTGTGAATCCGTTTGGGATGGCAGCGTTACACTGGCATTAGCCCAGGGTCAGATGGGACATCGGGGTCACCGAGCAATTTTCTGGGAACGCCCCCTGTGAAAAAAGAGTCTCCTTTCTGCAGAGCTAAAAAATGTCATCTTGACTCTGAGCATCTGGCTACGCTGTGCTCCCTGCGAGACCTGAGCACGGGCTCCAGACTTCTACAGGCTTTAATTAAAAGCAAAACGAGATGTAGTTGTTACCAGGACGACAGCAGCAACATTTTACACTTGGCAGGAGCAGTAACAAAGCACTGGAGGTGTTGGGGACTCCGCCGGGGGTTGCTCATTTCCGAGAAAGCCCAAGGAGCGCGTGAAAAGCTGCTGGGACGGGAAAATGGAGCAGAACGCTGCACTCCTGCAGCTTTTCCCAAAGAGAAATTCCATAAACACCGGGGCGGTGCCGAACGCAGCCCTGGGAGATGGGGCTGGGGCAGGTGTGGGCATCCCTTCGCTCCGTGGTGCCCCTCCGGAGGGCTCCGCTCGCCGGGCTGGCCGGAGCAGGGCTGGGCTCACCGAGGGAGGGGGACAGGGACAGGGACAGGGACAGGGACAGGGACAGGGACAAGGCAGGTCCCGGCACCGGGGCTGCTGTCCCGGCCAGGCTCCAGCGGGACTCGTTTGCCGGGAGCGCCCTCTGTTGTGGTGGGAGCGCTGCCGGACAGACGGACACCGGACAGACGGACACCGGACAGACGGGCTCGCCGGGAGCTCACGGGCCCTGGCATCCCCCCGCTGCTGGGGGTGCGCCCACGGGGGCTGTGCTGAGCTCCATCCCTCTGCCTGGGGTCTGGCCCTGCAGCAAGGCCGGGTCCGCCTCTGGAAAGGGGTTAGAGATGAGAGGAAGGCGTGATGCGCTCCCATCTCCCGTCTCCTAAGGGATGTAGGGTGGTGGTGTCTGGCGGTGGTGGGAGGATGTTCTGGCACTCCCAAGGGCCACGGTGCAGGTGAGGAGGGCTCTGCCCCCGCTGGAGCCCTCGTGCTCGGCCCTGCAGCTCCACCAGCGCCCCTGCCCCAGCGACCCGGCCAGGCCCTGCCCTGCAGCCCTCTCCGAGCAGTGCCCAGCGCCCCCCGAGGGTCCCGGGGCTGACACTCCGTGGGACACATCCCCTGTGCCCCGGCTGGGGCTGCATGGCCAGAGCCGAATCCTCCCCGCCTGCACCCCTGCAGGACTCAGCTCCTTCCTTCACCACACCCTCACAAGTCAGGGCTGGAAGCAGATCCTGGGGGAACACAAGAGTGGTCCTTGTTGCCGTGTGAGAGACTTTATTGGCTCAGGTGTCCTCTGTCCCCCAGCCAGGACCTTTCACTGCTCACAGCAGAGTTCCCCTGGGCCGGGCCTACATGAGGAACCTGGAGAGGTCCTCCTTGATTTCAGCCTCGTCCCACGGGCCGTGGATGTTGTCCTTGAGCAGCTGGAGGCGAATGAGGCAGTAGGGGCAGAGGCAGGAGATGGCGAGCAGCAGCGAGGCGAAGAGCACGGCGCCCACGCTGGACACCGTGGCCAGCCCCGCCAGCGCTGCCAGCGCAAAGAGCACCGTCACCCCCACGTAGCACCGCGGCGTCCGCGCCTTCAGCTTCTTCTGCAGCATGGGCCACAGGGCGAAGATCTGCATGGCGAAGGTCACCATGACGAAGGCGTGCAGGGAGCGGGGCAGGCGCGAGGCCAGGCACACCGAGGCGAAGATGGCCATGTTGAGGGACAGCGTGCTGGACACAATGGCGGCGTTGGCGCCGTAGTCGAAGAAGATGAGGTGCCCCAGGAGCATGAGGGCCGACATGGCGTAGATGGTGTCCGTGCTGA